TCCGGTTAGAGTTGGAATTTTTACGGTGAGCAATGTATATTCAACGCGCTTTGTATCGTACTTATTTTGTACATTTGTATACAACGTATACAAGGTGTCTACCACCCAATTCGCAACAAAACCTTTTGACCATGGAGGTGCTGAAGACGACGGCGATCAGCGAGAAGGCGGCGGCCAAGCTGCTCAAGAAGTTCGTGGATAGCAAGGAGGGGGAAGAGAACACCGACCTGATGGTACGCTCGCTGTTTAGCAGTATACAGATGACGAAGGCTGACATTGATGATGTTCTTGTGCAGATGAACGAGGAAGTCACGTTTCAATTGACGCAGGTGCTGGCTCACTTGGAGGGCAAGAAGCCGCAGATTCAGCGGCAGCAGGACGAGTACCAGTACGAACAGTACTAGGCCTCGATATATAATACAAAGCACGGATTGACAATATGGTCGACAATGCTGTGTACACGGCAACCATTGCGACTTTCAAGACCACAGAAGGCTCAACACGGTACCTATCTTCGAACGTTGTACTCAGACTCATACTTGATCGCTCCACGTTTGCTAAAAGGCCCAGGGCTGTCGGGCTCAATCTCTGCGGTCGATCAACGCGTGTATACTGATCAGACACTGGGGCCAAGTCTGGGCAGGTGGCTAGCACACTTGAAGTGCTGCCAGGCTAGGCTGGTGCTAGTGCCAGCAGTATCAGGACGTCCGCGTCGTTGCCACGTTTGAACATTCCGCAGTGCAACAAAACCCCGGATACTGTAGATGCCGGCTCACCGACCTGCCTTTGTCCGCTGCCAGCAGAGACCTTACTGAAGAGGCAAGGCAGGCAGTGTGCCATACTTGACCTGCCGATTCGGCTAGAGACAGCGTGTCTGATTGATCTCCTCATCACCTACTCGGACCTATCTTATCCGTGCTCTCTCGACGGCCAGTGTGGTGTTATAACCCAGGATCGTCTACCAGATGTGACCATACCTTCGTTGAGTTGGATGACTGCAGACACCCGTTTGCAACGCGTCCAAGCAGTCGGCTTTGCGAGCAGCTCCTGGACGGTAATGCGCTTCCGCAAAGGGACAGCGATTGCATTGTCGAACGAAGTAGCCTGCAATTTTTGCCGCTGCGTGGAAAAGCGGCCAAGCTTGCCACACTTCAATCAACAGGTCTTGAAGTGCATGGCTCTGTATGGCATTGTGACGCTACGTGCTAATGCCACGGGTGCCGCGGCCACTAACGTCTGAAACAGCGCCACACTGTATCGCCCAGGATCGGTGCCAATGGAGTTTACAGCTTCGTCAAGAGCTCGCTGACATCCAGCCTGGCGCAATGGAACACAGACAGCTCTCTGAGCCACAAAGGTCTCCACATACGGGTCACCGGCCCGGTCCTTGTGCTTTGGGGTGCATGCGTGCCATCGCAGCGGCGGTTTTCCAGTCATTCCGGTCATGAGCGCGGGCATTACTCGACGCGAGGAGTGCAACCAACGGTGGAAGGACAGATTCCAGCTGGCAGCTTCCTGTCCGCCTTGTGTTGCTGGCAAACTTCCTTCGTGTTGCGTCAAAGCTCGAGAAAAATTACACTCCTACGCCCACGTGTGACACGGGGGAGAGGCAACATGGCCTCCTGCCCACAGACCGTCACGAGCATCTTGCACGAACAACATCAATGTGGAGAGTCTCCCCACTGCAGACCACAGGGTCACAATCAGGAAGCGTTACGGTACTCGCGTCCTTCGGGGTCCGTGTCACAATCAGAAGCGTTACGGTATTTATTCACCGTATCGCAAAAAAGGGCGCGTGCTACTGTATCCCAGCTGCAACAAAAAACGACAACTGACGGCACCAGTGCACCGTTCCTGCTGTCACTCCCATATTTCCACAGCCAGAAGAAGAGCACGCGCTGTTCTTATCTTAGGCCTTGCAGCCGCCTAGTATACACACAGCCACTAGCGTCGCTGATGCTGGAAACACGCAGCAGCAACGAACTGGATCTGGCCTACATGCCTTACCATGAAGGCCTGGTGAACCACAACGCGCCACCCGTTCGCGGCAGCCTCTCGGTGCGTGTGTCCAACCAGCAACAGCACTCGCAGCAGTCTCCGTACTACGGTGATAGCGACGACGATGACGTGTCGGACGATCCGGCTTGGATGACAGCCCCACGTGGTAGTCTGCAGCCGGCGTTTCCGCCCAACCTCATGAAGAAGGCGTCGAGCGTCTCGGTCACGGACACACAGGTCTCCAGCCCCAAGTCTCCAGGCACCGACCCTATCTCCAGCGCCGGCGAAGAGGATGAGCAGGAGAAACAGCGCAAACACAAGAAGGACGACGACGATGACGACGATGACGACGATGACGACGATGACGACGATGACGACGATTACTTTCCCCCCACGATGCCAACGATGAAGTCCCCACCACGCAGTGAACCATCGTCCCGCCATAATAATAGCGGAGGGCGTCGCAGCTTGAACAATGTGGATGACAAGCTAACCACTGACCTGAAGCTCCGCAAGTGCAAGAGCATGCCCATGAACCAGGCGCCCGCGAACCCTGCCGATAACAACAAGATGGTCAATCTGGGAGTGCCTCGCAACTCACGTGGCAACTCGGAGATCGACCGCTTGTCGGTAGAGAAGAAGTCCGCAGACGCGTCTCACGCGGTCGGTGGCAGTAACAGTGGCTACCGTGACAGTATGATGCGCTATCGTCCGAGTGATCTCAAGCCTCAGGACCTCACGACAGCCATGGTGTTGCGTGATAGCTTAGCCCCGGAGAATTTCGAAAGCAGTCGCAGTGTCGACATGTACGCTAGCAGTCGCAGTAGCAACATGGGGCTCGAGAGCTCCAGAAGCAACGATCAGTTCGGTAGCAGTCGAAGCAGCAATTTATTCGACAGCAGTCGCGGCGTCGACCCGTTCGCGAGCACCCGCAGTACGGATCTCATGAGTGGACGTGGCTCCGTCATGCACTTCGGTCCACGCGTGACGGAAGAAGGTCTTTCTGACTACCTTCGCGCTGTCAAGTCAGGCAACCTTCAGCTCCTACGCACCTGCTTGCAAGACAGGAACACGGACTTCACAGAGCGTGATCCGGTGCACGGCCAGTCGGCGATGCACATTGCTGTGCGCTTCGGCCAGCTGCACGCCGTGCAGTTGTTGTGCGGCAAAAAGACACGCGGCCTGCTGATTGATGCTGTGGACAACCGACAGAACACCCCGTTACACTTGGCCGCGGCCAAGTCGCGCCGTATCACAAAGTACCTGCTGGAGCACGGCGCCGATGCTTCACGAGTGAACAACCGGAATCAGACGCCCCTGGCCGTGCACATCGTCACGACTAAGCGCGATGATCCACTGATTACTGAGATGCTACTCCAGCACAAGTCGGACCCGAACGGCCCGCTCGGCAACAGCACGCTACTTCACAAGGCTGTGGATCTCAATTTGTTCGAGATCGCCTACCGACTGGTGCGCCACGGAGGTCGTTTGGATGCGAAGGATGCACAGGGTCAAATGGTCTTCGAGAAGGTCGACCGCAAGGTGCTGCGCCAGCTCTGCGGCAAGATCTCGTACCCGCCCGTGTGGGTCCCCAACATGGAGCGCAAGGGCTGCATGATCTGTCTACGAAACTTCAGTCGTCTCGGAGTTGGCGTGCGCCGTCACCACTGCCGCCACTGCGGACGCCTCATCTGCGGTCGCTGCTCGCATGTCTCGGTCGAGAGTGAGGCATTCCCACCCACGTTTATAGGCCACATCGACCGCAATGCATCGGACGAGCGGTCCAACCTGAAGCGCGTGTGCAAGACCTGCAGCAGTGTCTTCGACGAGCGAGCCAAGCAGGGCAAGGAGAACTCGCCCGGTGGCAACCGCAAGTGGTCGGACGCGTTCATGGACCGAGTTGTTGGCTGCTCCTGGGACGAGATTGAACGCAAGGATAGTAGCAACAACCTCGGGTCTTCACGACGCGGTTCCCTCGCAGCGTAGGGATAAAAATCCTCGGCAATCAGGTCTGTTTGAACTCGCGCTTGGTGAGCTCTTCATCGCTGGTAATGGAGAAGGTAGACCACGAGCTTCATTGAAGCTGTGACAGCCTGTCAGACAACGCCGAGGCGACCGTCGTTCAAACGGCGGTGCGCAAAATGTATCAGTAACATGTCATGTGCTTTGCGTTCACAGTCAATTGTTGCAGTGATGTCCTCTGGATTGATGTTGATCATTTTTTGTGTCCTCAAGTGTGTTGAAGTGGCCTCTAAACATTATGGTTACTTTAACAAATCTCTCTAAGAGATTATAATCAGATCTAGTAGGCCCTCTTCAAGCCGTTATGACTAGTTTTGATTATACTAACTCCAATGGCTGGTTTACAGCTACTGTGGTTTCTTAAGTCCAATGAAAGCTCACTTCGTCTTTTGACGACAAGATCAAACTACTCTTCTTCTTCTTCTAGCTCTTCTCTATTGACTCAACTCGCCATAGGTTATGAGCCCAAGCCAAGCCTCAAGCGACGACTTCCCACGCCTCGTCGGCTCCGAGAACTTCGACGTGTGGAAGGCCCGTGTGTGCGCAGCACTGGATGGCAAGCATCTACTCGGCTATGTGAAGAAGCCCGACTACGATGGTGTATCTGAAGATGAGAGCGAAGACAGCGGCAGCGATATGTCTGACGTCGACGATGAGCCATCCGCCAAGACCGCTAAAAACGTAGAGATCGACTCCGACGCTGTGGACTACGGCGAGAGCGACGAAGACCTCAAGCCGTCCTCAGACTCGGATGAAGACTCGGGAGCCAGCTCTGATACGTCGATGAAGCGCAAGGACCTCCCGGTAGTTCGACCGTTCAACCAGCGCGAAGCTCACCGCACCCGCAAACGTGTCAAGAAAGAAAAGCCTCAGCCTCTAAGTCAGCGCGAGCGCCGTCGCCAGGAAGCCAAGACTAAAGCTTTCTTGATGAAGACGATGGACAACATGCACGTGCGGCTGGTCAAGAATCTCACGACATCCTACGAGATCTTCAACTTCATCTGTCAGAAGTACGAAGGAGCAGCCTTTCATGGCGATCCCTACTTCATCCAACACTACTTGATGGAGATCAAGTATGAGGAAGGATCAGACCTGACCGAGTTCTTTCTCAAACTTGAGAATGCGATGAAAGCCGCGTCAGAAGCCACCGAGTCGGTGATGACTGAGGGACAGAAGTCTATTTACCTGTTCCACTCGATGCCCAAGTCGTGGAAACATGATCTTCGCATCTGGAAAGGCCAGCGGAAGTATATCCCGTATGAAGACCTCAAGCAAAGCATTGAAGGCAAGGTCCGAGACCTCCAAACTCAAGAGCGCTACACCCTGGACAAGGGCAAGCCGGAGACCTCCGCAACCAAGGGTGAGCAAGCTCTAGTGGCTGCTGGGCCGCCTGCGTTTCATGATCGAGACAACGTCAATATTTGCTCGTACTGTGATCGCCCACGGCACAGCATTCGTCGGTGTCGCGGCCTGCAAAAGGATCTGCGAGATGGCCGAGTGAAGGCTGGGACAGTCCTTCCAGCCAACTTCGCCTTCAAGGGAAACTCGAAGTGCGACCATCCCTACCGTAACTCAAACAACGAAAAAAAAAGGACGCAGCAACAAGGGCAACGGCAATCGCGAATCCAAGGGCAACAACGGCAACAATAAGAACAAGCAGGGCATGGAGGCAAGAATCGTGGTCAAGACCGCTACAAGGATCGTCCGTTGGAGTCTGACAATGACGACGACGACGAAGATAGCGATTCAGGCAACAACCGCAAAGTGTCTCGCCAAGTGCGCCGCGAGTCAGCTCGCATTGCAGTGGGTACTACAATCAGCCCTACGTTCAGCCTCACTGCTCAAGCCAAGGTAGAACCCGACCCCATCTGGACGATCGACTCTGGCTGCACGCGCCATGTGACCCATGAAGCACAGTGGTTCGCTGACATCACTGTTAGTGGTGGCTCGATTACGGTTGGCGGCAACAACCAAATCCCTATCGAAGGCATCGGACGCGTCGAACTGGAAGTCATTGACTCCAAGGGCAAGATACAGAGGCTTAGCCTTGATGGCGTCCTGTATGCTCCCCAGCTCCAATTCAGCCTGCTGTCAGTCCCTGCGGCCGTGAAGCACGACTTTCGTTTCAACTTCGATCGCAAACAGTGCGCTGTGCAAACTGATCAACGGTTTAAGATCAAGGCTCACATGGCTACTAACTCGGATTTGTACCAGTTCCAAGCCAAGCCCGTGGCATCCAGCGGCGCTTGTCGCCTCAGGTAAGCAACGATCCTTTCTGCTATTACACAAGCGCCTTGGCCATCCTAACGTTCGTGTCTTGAATGACCTATCTAGGAGCCATCCCATACATGGACTCGATGGATCTACACCTTTAGGTCCCATAACAGATTTTTTTTCTGTGTAGCTTGCACGTTAGCGAAGTCACACCGCTCGCCGTTTTACTCTAATAGAGTTGTTAAACGCGCCACCTCTCCCTTGTCGAAAGTGCATTCAGATATCTGTGGTCCACTACCTGTGTCTAGCCTTACTGGTTGTCGCTACTTCTTGATCTTCATCGATGACTTTTCTCGATTCATGTTCACTTATCCAATTAAGACCCGTAGCCAACTTTATGAGTGCTGCGAAGACTTCAGGAAGAAAGCCCTAAATATTTTTAGGCAAGACATCTCTGTCATTGAATACACATTCAGCGTTGAAGAAGGTGTGATTCAGAGCAATTTTGAAGTTCAGAGACTTCAAGCAGATAATGCGAAAGAATATGAGAAGCTCGGTCGCATCATCTTTAAGAAGTATGGGACTCACGCTCAATTTACCAATGCATATACTCCTCAGCAAAACGGAGTTGCTGAACGACGCATGCGCACCATCATGGAGCGTGTTCGAGCCCTTCTACTTGACGGCAAACTGCCCAAGCAGTTGTGGGCAGAATGTGTTTGTCACGTGACTACTCTGATCAACATGACACCTAGCTCCAAGACGGTCGGCCGAACCCCGTACGAGCTTTGGTACAACCGCACTCCATCTATGCAGTGTATGGACGTTTTCGGATGTAGCGGGTATGTCCACATAACGGAGCAATATCGAGACAAACTTGATGCTCGAGCCCGTTTGTGCATGTACCTCGGTGTACCCGACCACAAGAAAGGATATCGATTGATGGACATCAATACACATGCCATTGTATACAGCCGCGATGTAGTCTTTAAAGAGGACGAATTTCCCCCTCTCACTGGCCTGGCGACTACACCAGTGCCAGCACAGAACACGAGCACTCAGCTACCTGAACCTACAAATGCTAGTGCGCCTGAGCCTGAACCTGAATCTGAACCTGAATCTGAACCTGAATCTGAACCTGAACCTGTGTCAGTACCAGCATCGTCATTTCCCTCATGTCCTGCAATGACTACTGCACCAGGCACAGAGAACAAACGTGTACTGCCCTCATTGAGGGAGGCTATTGATCGAACAGTCATGCATTACTCGTTTCGGTCGGAGACGGACTCTAATCCTCCGCAACCTTCAGCTCCTAAGCGACCCCGCCTTACTGCGGAAGCTACCGACCCATCCCTTACCTCAGAGGTAGATACCGTCGTAACCCTCAACTCTGAGGAAGATATCCGTGAACAGGAGCAACGTCAGCATTTACTGTACACCTTACTAGCTATTCGGTATGTGTCAGAGCCCACTACGTACCGGGAGGCTATGAAGTCTTCCCACGCTAATCAGTGGCATAAAGCAGCTAAATCGGAATACAAGTCCCTCATGGACAATAACACTTGGGTGTTGGTAACCCCTCCAAAAGGACGGAAGGTTCTAACTAGCCGATGGGTCTTTGTAGTGAAGTATACCGGCACCGGCGAAATCGACCGCTTCAAAGCGCGTCTAGTGATCAAAGGATTCCTACAGGAATATGGCATCGACTACAATGAGATTTTCTCTCCTGTCATCAGGATGGAAGTACTCAGACTACTGCTTACTGTAGCAGCCCTTCTTGACCTTGAAGTCCACCAAATGGATGTGAAGACAGCATTTCTCAACGGCTATCTTGAGGAAGAGATATACATGGCTCAACCGGAAGGATTCCAAATCCCGGGCAAGAAACATCTTGTATGCAAGATCCTAAAGAGTCTTTACGGGTTGAAGCAAGCTCCCCGAGTCTGGTACCAAACTCTGTCTGCCTTCCTTGAAAGTCTTGGATTCTTGAAACTGATCAAAGATCGCTGTGTTTTCCGACGCACGGTTTCCGGAATCACGTGTTACATTGCGGTGTACGTCGACGACCTATTGATCATAGCACCCACGCCAGCTCTCGTACAGGAGCTTAAATCCGCCCTGAAAAAGAGATTCTCCATGACCGATTTAGGGGAGGTGAAGTACCTACTCAGCTGGTCCATTCAGCGTGACCGTAAGAACCGAACGATATTTATCCACCAACACAAGTACGCTACGAAGGTCCTTGACCGCTTCAGCGACTACATCCCTTATCCAATTGCAACACCAGCAGATCGGAACGTTAAACACTCCGAAAACAGCCAGCCTAGCAGTGATCCAGAGAAAAATGCGATGAGAGACATTCCGTATCGCCAAGCCGTAGGCAGTGTCATGTACTTAATGGTAGGCACTAGACCTGACATTGCATTCTACATGCGTGAAGTCAGTCAATTCCTAGCCAATCCGGGAATGGAGCACTGGAAAGCAGTCATTCGCGGACTCAAGTATCTGTCAGGAACCAAAGACTATGGTCTTCTTCTGGGAGGCTCGTCCGACATCACGCGTGAGAACCTAGCTGATAATCTGACAGCTTACAGTGACTCGGACTATGCCAACTGCCCTGACACAAGACGTTCTGTCGGCGGTTACGTTACTATGGTAGCGAGCAGTCCAATCTCATGGCTTTCACGAAAACACCACACTGTGGTTCTCTCTACAACAGAGGCAGAATATATCGCCCTGTGTCACTGCATGCAAGAGATGATAGTCCTCAAACTCCTCCTAGAAGAACTCGGTTTTGCCACTACTCAGGCCAATACTATTTACGAGGACAATCAGACCTGTATTAAAATTTGCTACAACCCCGAACTACACGGACGATCAAAGCACACTCACGTCAGATATTGCTTTGTGCAAGAAAAAGTAGAGCGACACGAATTCACCGTCACTTATTGCAATACAAAAGAGATGATAGCTGGCATCTTCACGAAAGCTTTAGATAAGCATCATTTCAGAGAATTGAGGGCCAAGCTCATGTTAAAACCCCTGAAAGCTGGATCCGGCCACTAAATGTAGAGTTACTACGATAATATAACTGCATGAAGCGTGTCTACCAATCGCGTTCTTTTTAGATTTTTTTCCCACTGGGTTTTATCTTTTTGTTCGCACAAGGTTTTCCCTCGTTGAGGTTTTCCTGGTCAAGTACCGAATTATCTAGACACATGAGTTCATATACAAATTACCATGCATAAAATGATTATTTGCTGGGAAAGTTCATTATTGGTTAGGCAAACCCGCGGAAATCCTACCAACTCCTATCATCTACTTAAAGACAATGAAAGGACGAACAAAAGCATAGAAATCAATCCAGTCATCCGCTGACTCAATAGGCTTACCTTCTTCCAAATCGTAGATAAGCCGTTTCTCGCCGTGGACTGTGAGAACGAATGCATGCCCGATGCTTTGATGATTGTAAGCCGCCACAACGTAAACACCGTTCTTGAGCTTAATTTCGCTGAGCACACGGACACCACGTCGACCTGCAACCGCGAAATTGTCCAAAGCAATGGTTCTGTAAATGAAGTCACGACCATCATCACGTAAACGACGCAAGAAGACGAGAACAATCTTCCCCGAAGTCCCCTTCGTCAGGTCCTCTCCACGAGAAATCTTCTGATGCTCCACAAAGTCTTCAATGTCTTGATTTATCACGATATCAGGACGGCCGGTTAATTCTGCTGCACGTCTCAACGCATTGAAAATGCAGAGTCCATCCATGTCCGCACCGATCGCATTCTTGCCATATTCGTCGGTAGGCCAGAATTCAGCAAAGGTCTGGACCTCAGAGGCTTTCCACCTGTCCACCAGCTCGATCTCTTTCCGGAAGTTGTCAGCAAGCAGCTGAGCCCGGGGATCCCACGTCCGCTGATAGTACCGTCGCTTCTTGACGAGAGGGTTAACCCACAAGACTTGATATTTATAGTCAAGTAGGGAGTCACCACGCCGATCATTAATCCGTGCAACCTGCCAGGTCTCCTTGGTTGTCACGTAATTTGACGTGGTAGTCAATTTGGATCTGCCATAATACTTGCCGTAAATGCGCCAGTACATCTCAGTGTCGCTGTCACTACCATCGTTTGTGTCGCTAGACACATAGTCGGGGCCAGAAAGTGTCAAATCTGTGGTTACAATACGATGAATGGAAGAATCACTACATTCCCCCACTTTAGTGACATCGGCCGGTGGGGTGGCCACGTGTGCTTGAGGCTTCTCCTCCTCCTCCTCCAGCGCGGCGATAAAAGCTGGCGCAAGCTGCACCGATTCCCGTGACGCCGTTTGCTTATTCCTTTCCGCAAGAACGTTCGACGTAGCTGGAAAAGCCTCTGTAGCCATCTCTGCCGGTGCTAGCGTAGACACCAAACCCACTGACGCAGCTTCAGACACCGATCTCGCAGTCTCTGGGAGTGCTTCAGCCTCTGGAGCAGCCTGACATGTTGAAGGGCACGACGTGGTCGCCGCAGTGAGAGTCGCAGCAGCTCGAGCAGCCGCTCGCGCTATCTTTCGAGCGCGCAGTCGTTTAGCCGTGGTATTCTTCTTCCTTCTCTTTTTCACGCGCAGAGGAGCCAGCTCTGGAGCAGCGGTAGATACAGACGCCATGTCGGACTTCGTCCTCGAGTTCCTACCAGGCATGTCACTCATTGTCCTCCTTCCCACACAGAGAACTGCTGGGTGAAGTTGGATCAGCTAGCCTGAGTGACTTCCTTGGCGGCGTTTCAAGGACTGAGGGGATGTCCTTGAAGAAAGTGTTACCTTTGTTATAACATAGATTTGTCAGTTTAATAAATTATGTTAAGAGGCAGGGAGGCTGTTGAAGTGGCCTCTAAACATTATGGTTTCTTTAACAAATCTCTCTAAGAGATTATAATCAGATCTAGTAGCCCTCTTCAAGCCGTTATGACTAGTTTTGATTATACTAACTCCAATGGCTGGTTTACAGCTACTGTGGTTTCTTAAGTCCAATGAAAGCTCACTTCGTCTTTTGACGACAAGATCAAACTACTCTTCTTCTTCTTCTAGCTCTTCTCTATTGACTCAACTCGCCATAAAGTGTACAATTGGAGTGCGGTTCACATCGTTTAGTGATTAGTAATTCGAACTTAACACAGTCAACTACGGTAAGCGAGCCGCTTGCTCTGGCTGGTCAACATTCAGTGGCGTAATTGGAGCTCATTCATCATGCGCTGTTGTCAGATGGTCATGGGCCCTGCGGGTACCGGCAAGGTGCGACGATAGTCAGACATTTGTCTTCACTGTTTTTCTCTCTCTGATGCAGTAATTTGAGCGAATTCTGACCCATGGTTGATGGGTTTTTTGCTGTTTTTCGATGGCAGTCCACATACTGCAACAACATGCACGAGTTCTGCGCTGCGTCTGGACGTATGACGTACGTGGTGAACTTGGATCCGGCCGCTGATCACTTCGACTACCCCGTGGCCTTCGGTATGTCGATTTTCCTATTGAACTCGAGGCAGTACAAGTGTAACGACTTCTGTGTGCTGTACCAGACATCCGCAATCTGATCAGCGTGGAAGACGTAATGGAGGAACTGGGCTACGGACCCAATGGCGGCCTCATATACTGCATGGAGTGAGTGATATGTTACTGTATTTTAGCTGGAATAGGGAGTTTGCTGACCGATAGAGTTTCGATTACAGATATCTTGTGCAGAACCTCGATTGGCTGCAGGACCTCCTCGGAGAGTACAGCGACGAAGACTACTTCATCTTCGACTGCCCAGGTTGATAAAATACTCTAGATTGATCGTTATGGTGTGCTAGTACTGAGGCTTTTGCAATTGTTGGTTTATGTAGGTCAAATTGAGCTCTACTCGCATCTACCAGTGATGAAGCAGCTTTGCGACTCCCTGAAGGACTGGGGCTTCAACATTTGTTGCGTCTACTTGGTGATATATCTGCCTCAGCGCTTTGAGAATGATTAACAGGCGTAATGCTTACATGATCGTGTGTGTTTGCGCAGATCGACTCCTTATTTATCGTTGACCCGACCAAGTTCATCTCGGGCGTGCTCTGCTCACTGTCCGCCATGGTGCAGCTTGAATTGCCTCACATTAATGTTCTGACCAAGTGCGATCTGGTCGACGAGAAGGAACTTTCAAAGTACGTGCTGATCATATTCCCTGAGCATGGTGCGGTTTCAAATGGTAACACCGAATTTTTGTTTACTCTGCAGATATTTGGACCCGTCGGAGGGCTACCTCCTCGAAAACCTCGCGAACGCTACTGATCCCAAGTGGCGTCCTCTGAGCGCAGCGATCTGCAATGTGGTGTGTGGGCCCGTTGAATCCTGAACGATAACGCGTCATGAAAGAGAGCTAACCCACGCACGTGACGTTTGTCAATCGGTACTTTTGTGCACAGATTAACGACTTTAGTATGGTCGCCTTTGTCCCCATGAACATCAACCGCGAGGAGAGTATCGAGACTGTGCTCATGCACGTGGATCACGCCATCAACTACGGCGAGGACTTGGAGCCGCAGGTACTGGGATGTTCTGCGTTGAACGTTATCGAATCAACAGTTTACTCACGAGCCTATTCTGTCGTTCTCTGTTCAATTATAGGAGCCTAAGAGCCACGAAGCGGACGAATAGATTGTGGTGTAATGATGCAACGCACACGATTTTATTCTGGTTCTTACTGTCGCTTCGTACGACTTCATCACGTTGATTCGCCCTGCATCAGATTAATCATGGGACGCTGTTGGAAAGCACATTGCTGACGGATTCTAAGAAGAATTCCCCATGCTCCAACGCGACGATGGTATGCATGATGAACAATTTATCAGGTCTACTATGACCGAAAACACAACAGAGCATTCAAGTTTATTGTTTATGATTCTAGGATAGCTGTCGTCGTAAACCGTAGGAATTCGTAAGAACAAGCTGCTATAAGCGAGAAGAGCGAATCGAAAAGCAATCGCTGCAGCATCGCCAGCCAAGCTTTGGACACCCACGCCATGGCATCCGTTATCATAACATGTACTGTCTTCTGTCGTAGGCGACAGTCAGGGGAAAGCAGCAACCGTCACCGAAGACTAATGTTACTACTGATAGACGTTAAGTTGAAAAGTTTTCAAAAGTAACGTCCACTTCTAAGTAGTAACGTTAGTTCATTGAAAACTGAAGGCGGGGGTTAATGATCCATGGCGTTGTTGGTCGCGCCCGCCAGGGCAGCACGAGATGATTGCAACGGATCCTGCCGGATTCCATGAGGCCGATTCCACCTCATTCTTCTTTTTCACCGGTCCGAGACCGACGTCCTTGCCCCGGTCTTCTGCTTCGAGATTCGAGATGTCGCTCTTAAAGGTGCTTCGAGCCATGTTGTTGTACGTCACTGTTATCACGACGCTGTGCGCTTCAAGTGCATTTGCCGATATTGAAGCTGTTGCTGAAGGCAACTCGACCGTCATGAACACCACGCGCTACCTGGAAGAAGCCGCAACTGACTTCCGTATAGCAATGTTGAATGCTGTGAACAAGGAGCGCACTGCTCGTGGACTGTCAAAGTTTTGCATGAACAGGAAACTGCAAGATGCTGCTCAGATCCACTCGGCAGACATGGCCAAGCGGAACTTCCTCAGTCACACCGGATCGGACGGATCTACAATGTCCAGTCGAGTCCGAGCTGCGGGGTATCGGTGGGCTACCGTCGCGGAGAACGTGGCAGCCGGCCAGGCAACGGTGAGCAGTGTTCTCGCTTCGTGGATGAACTCGAATGCACACAGAGCCAACATCTTGAGCAACAAACACAAAATGTTTGGCTGCGGCTATGTTGCCACCTCTAATAGCAAGTACAAGCACTACTGGACGCAGAACTTTGCGTCGGGCAATGGTGAAGTATGCGGATGATGTACTAAAGTAAACATTTTAGAGCAAATAAGAGAGATTTGAGCTCTGAATTTGAACGCAGTCTTGAGTCGAACTTTGCCCATGTCTAAGCGCCATCTCCTAAGTACGCACGTCTCTTTTCTGTTGCATTCAGCCCTCAGGATGCAGGGTTAAATTTTCTCTTATTCGTTCTATTGGATAGATGTTGCGTTTAGTTAAAAAAAAATGTTTATATGCAGCATCCATTCCATTAAACCATCTTCGAGTTCATGTATTTATACCATATGGATGAATATCATCACAGTCCAGACAAGATAGTTTTAACTTCGTTTGACTAAAGCGAATCAGTCGATATTACATAATAATGACCAATCAAATAAGGATATGTTGAGTATAGTCTAATAAACCAGAAGGGTTAGGGTAAAAAGCTCCCGACAGCTTGCCAACGTAAAATGTAGGGACGAGGTGAGAAATATGCTGAGAGGCAATACGAACCGCTAGTTCTGTTCGCATAATTCGCATATTCTTAATACCTTCGACAAAGACTTGACAGCAGTATGAGCCTCCAAGATCTCGCTTCAGTCAACTCGCAACGTGCCCAGCAGACAGCTATCAATGCTTTCAACCGCTTCATCACAAGTGCAGGAGTGTCTACGGATTACATCGGAGCCTCCCTTCTCGGTGATGCGAGTGAAGCTGTATTCGTAAAGCTCATGGACCGCTTCGGAGGTCACCTGGCGTTTGTGGAAGGCCGAGGAGGAAAGCCGCTGGCACGGACTCGGTGGTGAGCTACTACCAGCATGTCAAGAACTGGTTGCTTGACGTCTATCCAAAGCATCGAGCAAGTATTGATAAGAAGCTACCAAAGATGGTCCAGACTCTCGAGCGTCATCATCGAAAGAGTGTTGAGGGGGGAATGATTAAGAAGGCACCTGCGTTTACGAAGGAAGCCCTCCGCATTCTTATGGACGGGCTCAACTATGATGCAGCGATCCCCAAAGACTATCAAGATGCAGTCCTGGTTGCGCTCATGTGGTACGCGTTTGGACGTGTCTCCGACCTCGGCTTTGTCGTGGAAGGAAATATGTCTGTCAGCGCCAATGGTGTGGTTTTCGTGCGGCCAACCCGAGTGAAGTTCGCTGAGCAGCAATGTATTTCTCTCTTCCCGGTCAAGGACAGCTTCGTTATATGTCCAAATCACGCTATCGCAATGGCTTTGGTGATGCAAGATCATCCCTGCGTTCAGTTGCTTGACCATCCTCATCTTGCTGCTGGAAATGGCGAGGATATGACAGCTCCGGTTGACTTTCCGCTCGTCGAAGCACTTGCTGCGTGTGGTACTCTCGGTGGTGCTAGCCACGGCAATGTTGGCGAACCTCCAAGATAAAGTTGAAGCAGCCCGAAGATAACATGAAGATTTACGCATATGTGAATCAGCTTTTTAAGAATACGTCCGAAGCCCAAACTAAATCGAAGCCTACCACAAATCTAACGTCGCATTCGTTTCGCCGTGGTGGGACTCAACATGCTAACAGCGATCAGCTGCTTAGTGCGCAGTGGATCTTCGACCGTGGTTCGTGGAATATGACTGCTACAAACAAGGCGTTCCCGTATGTGTTCAACCCTACCAGTGAAGACCAGAAGGTATCTCGCGTTCTGAGCGGATGAGACTCCAGCAAGAAGCCAGCGGTACCCACACTATCATGGTTCGATTCAGCAAGTGACAACAAGCTTTACAACTCGGCAACCTGCTCTTCCAATCTAGTGTTTGTGCTCAAGATCCTGCAAAAAGACTCAATGGCAGAGTGGTCGAAGTGCTTACCGCTGCTGTGATTCAGCATTTCCCAGTAATTCTGGAGCGCTATCCAATGTGTTTATACGCAACTAGAGTGCGGTAGTGTCTGATGGCACATGGGTTAACTAAAACACACATCTTAGCATGGAGTTCGGGATTGCAGAGCAAGGCAACGGAAAAGGAACTAGAAGCTGCTGAAGAAACCGAAGAGAAATTTTCGCGAGAGAGCAAGCTCATCAATCATCAAAACTGCATCATTCGCAAGCCGATCGCTATGAATACAGCACTGACGGAGCGCGTCAAGCAGCTGGAGAGTCGCATCACTACTCAAGACGATACCCAGGAGATTTTGCCATCTTCAGGGCAAGAAGCGGGAGCGCCAAATATTCGTGGCGATGGTGGTAACAAGACAAAGACCTGCGGGGCAAACGCGCTTCTAAAAGCCCATCTACCATTTTGGTCCGAATGCTATGCCAAAACTCCGCGAATGTGGGAAGTATGCGATGACCGGCAGAAAAACTCTGCTTACAAGCAGACTGAAAGCTACATGAAGCTCTTTCTGCCGAAGAGCTTCGTGTTAGATCCATCAACACCAGGGTACTGTGACGGGATTGAGGCTGAAGCTCAGCTTGTCAAGTTCTTTTTGGGCATGGGATCAAGCACAAGAACGGATCATCTGTGGTGAAGCAACCCTGCCAGTTCTACCACGAAGGTAAGTTGGACGCTCTAATCTCAGCGTATCGTGCCCGTGTGGCAATTGGAGGCACGACGGACCCAGCCCCTCAAGATACTCAAGTCCTGTTTACGCGGACCTCTATAGTAGGTTTATCAAATTGATAGCAAACATGCAGCCATGACATCTTTAGCAAACCTCTTCCTAAAGGTCAACAACACTATGGGCTGAAATCTATCATAGAAACAGAATTAATTTTTATTGCCTTTAAACTACATTGTATTCACGACCAAAACTAGCGTTCAATTCATAACATTTTTGCTTGACGATCAAGTGTCGTAAATTAGTGCAAGTTGCTTTTATTGTATTTTCCAAAAATTAAAAAAATTGTAAACAGTCTTCAGGAAGTTATATTATATAAAATATAAAGTGTTTAATTTTGTTAAGTTTTGTGCAAGAGAATGATTAATTCTGGGCATTTAATCGTTTCGACTGCGTAAAGACCTGAAATTTCTTCAAAATAGTGGCGTAAACCGGCTTCGGTACTTGGCTTGTAGACAAACTCATCTGAGTCAATGAAATAGTACTTGTCGTCCACGTGCGCACGTGCAACAGTACCGGGTATTCCCTCCGTGCGTCGCGTGCCTACCAATGATGATGAGATGTTTAAATTTCGAAAGTGCTACCTTTCTAAACCACTTCTTAGCACTACAGCTAAATGTACTTGTGTTGTTTAAAAACCTAAGCAGGTAGCCCTTTCCGCAAAGTGCTTTGTGCAGCGCAGTAGTCGAATACCCGCCGTATTTGACGTTGCCATGGGCATCTCGCCCCTGCCCCACTGGAGTCTTGTTTAGACGGTCCACAATGTGAGCCGTCTCGCTGACCGACAGAAAATCGGGGGTTTGAACCGCAATATCGACTGAGTATAACCCACAGAGAGAGTACTTGTCGCATGTTCCGCTCTGATTTTGGCATATCGGACCGCCCCTTGTCCGCCGTGTAGTCTCAACGTTGGATTGCATCTCTCTCCGTGATTTTCTAGCAGAACGCAGGGAGTGGAGAGAAACACGCACCGAAGGCACCCAACTTACGATTGCACTGACACTTTCCCGCAGAGCGGTAGCTAGCAGTACGACGGCCTGTGTGAATGCAAAAGTGAAAGTGAGAAGGAAAGCAACTAGCTAAAACTATTGAATAAATGCTGTCCATTAATTTTAGTAGTTGCAGTTCATGTGCATGTAACTACGGGATCTTTGTTGTGCCTTGACAGTTACGTAAAGTAACGCGTTGGCAATGTGTGACGACAATCAACTTGATCATCAACCGCTCTGTTGATCGCAGCCCCATCTGGGCACCGAACGAGATGTGCATTTTTTTCTACCAATAACAGTGCGTAAGCGCGGTGTCGGCCGCTGTCAGCATCGTTACGCTATGGTATGATGATTCATATCGGCAGATGACGTATCAGTATAGGCTTCTGCTGCCGATATTAGTAGTCGTTAGTACTTGCTAGTGCTAAATGTACACAACATACTTAACCTGAAAATAATGAAAATGATTTGCAACAGTAGCGCGCTCGAGCCTCTATCGAGGCTGCTTCGCACACTATTTTAGCTTACTAACGAAAACTAATACATGTATACGATGTAGCACACACCCACTCGGAAACGGAGCATCTCTCGGACGCACAAGAAAGTTGTGGGGACTGAGAAAAGGAACTATTCCGCTTTAGACAACCCGAGTCCTTATCGCTCTCAACGATCTTTGTGACAAGTTCGTGGTGTGGCCAAATGCAGCAGAAAGAAGGCAAATATCGCGCCGTATGGAAGCAGAACGATTTCCTGGTAGTATTGGGTTCTTTGACGGCACGACAATCCCGTTATTACAAAAGCCCGCTGTGGATGGCGAATGTTTCTTTGACAGAAAACACAGGTACAGTGTGAACGCACAAGTGATATGTGACGATCGACGCCGAATTATCTCGTTTTACAGTGGATGGCCTAGGTCGTGTGCAGATAGCACAGTCTACTAAGATATGCGGCTTTCAGATGACATGGAGAAATGCCTCTTCTTCAGCCCTGGAGAATATCTACTGACCGACTCTGCGTATCCTGCTGACTTTACATACAACACAATTGTACCAGCGTACAAAGTGAGTAGTCTTGGAAGCGAAAAAGAGAACTTCAACAAGTGGGTTGCTCATGTTCGTGTGGTAAACGAACAGACGATCGGCGTTTTGAAGGGACGATGGTCTTCACTTCGAGAGCTGCGAGTGCAGATACGGAAGAGCGAGGATATGAATCGAGAACTACTGTGGCTTTCAGCCTGTGTAGTACTGCACATCATGGTACTGTTGTTTGGTGATGACTGGCCTAACGATGATGAAAGTTCCGACAGTGATTCAGATGGTGAGGAATCCGATAGTGGTGATGAAGACCCGTACACGTTTCGTCGGCGGATTAAGGCTAAAGCAATCGCTCGTGGACGTGCACCTGGTGGAATACTGAGAAGTAGAAGCTAGCTTTCTTTCATCTACGTTATGGTAGGAGAGTAGAAGGCAATTAGCTAGTATAACCCTATCCCGACTTTGACGACACCTTGGGTTTGACTTAGCCGTAGAAACACTAGCGAGCTCCTACAGCACAAAACGATGGAAAACGGGATACTAACGACTTCACAGATACATAAATTCCGAGCAAGTGTTCGCTGATGGCTCGTTGTCGTCGCGGCTACAGCCCATTTTTGTAAAACTCCATAAGAGCCTTGATTTCATCCGGGGTCTTCTGGACTGCCACCAGCGACATAAACCTATCGTGGCGGCGCGAAGCCCAGCGGTCCTCCAGGTCTTGTGATCGTAGCTACTGGTCACGTTCCTGCTGGGTTTTGTTAGCCACTTGCTGCTCCTTCCACATTTTTTCGTCCAGCTCCATCTTTGTCTTCATATACTTTATCTTGTCTTCTCAATTTTTTGCGTAAGCAAAGGACAGCGATGCTCAGCTCTTGTGAGCCGTCATTCGCTTCGGCGTTTTCGCCTCGATAGAATTTGCGCTGTCCGAGCTCAACCGCATCTTCTTCTTCTGTTTGGGGTGAGTTTTGTGAGTGTTGGTATCAGGAGCTCGGGACTTTCTCTTTGAGAACTTAGGGCGCGATTCACCACGTTGAGAAGAGGAGTCAGTGTTTGAAGCCGTCGTACACAGGCTTGATGGACGGGTACGGGACTCCGTACTGATAGAAGCTACCGAGATCGTCTCTCTTTGGCTGACAACTGGATCGTCGGCGAATTCCTGCGGTTGCTGTCGTGAGAGGTCGTGTGTCGTGGTTCCAAGCAGCGCTAGCATGGAAGACAGGGGGGTAACTCATCCTCTTCTCCTGTGGTCCAGAGAGCACCTTCGGGTGGAGTCGGCTCAAATGAATCGTCGGGTTCTATTACTCCAGTATTTTTGCTCGATGCCTCATTGCCGTCATCAGTAGGTTTGGGTCCGTCTGCAGCTTCATCTTGGTCATCATCGAAATCGTTACGTGCGGAGAATTCATCAGCGTCATAACTTTGGTCGTTGTTATCACTTCCACTTGCACCGAGATGCTCGTCACTGCTTTCAGCACTATCGCTCTCTTCAGAACGACTTTCTTTGTCCTCGTCGTACTTAGAGTCTGTTCTACAACATCCAGTACCATCTTGGGGAAGACCAAGTTGTAACGTAGCTGGAGCACGAATATTCGCCTTCATTGCGAACTGCTTTTCTATACGCGCAAAGTGAGAGCACAGCTTGTCTAACTTTGCTTGAATTGACAAGCCTTGCCTCAACTCCTTCTCAGTCATCCCGAGACCCGTTTCCGTGCGGCCCTTCTTCAGTGTGAGCTGGAATTTCTTTGTCTTGTACGTTCGCCAGCGCTGCTGCATGTTCGCTCTAGTGAGCGCCGGAATATTGGTATTCTTCGTGTGTGCGTTCAAGTACGCCGCCAATTCATTGAACGCCTGCGTCTTCGTCTTCTGTGGCCTCCTGCGACGGTAGTCTTCTTGCTTGTACCGTGAGCTGCGGTAAAGTTTTCCGGTATCTCCATCCAGGTAACTAGCAAGCCGAAGCCTTCTCGAAATAGATGAACCTTGGCGAACTGGCCGTTCTCGTCGTTAAGCGCCATTTCTAAGCATGTACACACATGATTTTAGTACTCACGTGCAGGAAAGACACAGGACCGTGCATGTACAGCCACGTTGCAAAACATAATGGATCCCGTAGTTGCAATTTCGAAGGATCTTCATTCCAACAATAAATAAACGTTGTATCAAGCTGAATGTAAAAAAAATGGGGGAAATACCAATATTTTTATCGCCCGTGGGCGTTATATGTTAGAAACACAGCATTCCAAAATCGTGGACGCTGAGAATCTCTTTGTACCATGTATCACTTACCCTATCATGTAGCCTTCTCGTACAACATCAGTATAATGTGAAATCCAGTCAAATTTGTCACTTTGGCTATATTCAACAACTCGCATGCATAACTAGGGCCTGAGATAGGAAAGAACACAAGCGAAAAAATATAACAAGAGGCTGTTGCTTCAGGCTGGGAAGCCTAGCACTCTTGTCCGCAGGAAGGCCAGGAGCAACCGCCGCTTACCAGTGATACCTTACTACATACAAAATCTATTCTTCTGCCAAGTAATTTACGAGGGGCGGGTGTGATACTGGAATGATCGTTAGCATGACTTGTTTTTCTTTTAAATAAACGCTAAAAATGTAACTTTGCACGATGAAGCTCTGGGTTTTCTAACTAATGCCGTGCCGTGCCCGGAGAAGCTCTGAATATTTGCGTATTAGCGTTTAGTTTAACTACTGTAGTTTGTTTGACGTGACCAGTGGACGTAAGTTTGTTGCTGAGCAAGGCGGCCGAGGGCAACTTGCCACTTCTAAGTGAAAATCAATTTTTCAGCCAATCAAGCTTCGGTATAAGGAATGTTGTGCGAAGGTCGCTTTTCACCGACTGGGTCAACATTCGCTGATTTTGAATAAACGTAAGACGGGTTATAAAGTTTTCCGTTTTATAATTTGAATTTTCCTAATCTACGCTAAGTTTGAAGGTCTGATGGGTACGCTTTGTTTATTTATATAGGATCTTCGACGGTCCACGATTGCCCCTAAAACTCTGAATATAAATATTCAGAGAATTATAATCAAAATCGTAATATATGTTTGCGAGATTGCAGCAGAGCGCGAACTCGGGCGTGAATAGCTGTTAACTGCAACTTGCGGTCCGCAACAAATACAATTACAATTACAAATACAAAAACCTGTGTTTATTCGAGGAAATAGGGGGAGTCAAAGTTAGCTTTTTCGCCTGTCCTTTTTTGGCGTGTGCCCATGTCATATGTTGGCAGGAAATCTGATATTTCTTGGCGAGATGACCTGTCATTTCGAAAAGCACCTGCGCCAAGAGGTGGGTGATCCGAGGGTTCACATGGCATTTCCAGAAATAGAAAAATGGTCCGACCAGGCAACGTTGCCGTCAGTCTTGAATTTGCTCCTGCATTCATCAACACTCAGGAGCAGCCCGCGCTGGAAGCGTGACGGGGTCACACAGAACCTTGCGCTGAGGAAGTAAGCTTCCTAGAGTATACAAACTCTAAGTGAACGGCCGTTCACGTGTCCCTGGTCTGTGAGGACGAAGTACTCACTGAAGGGTACGATTCCGACTGATTTGTATTTATAGGTAAACTTAGCTTGGATTCTAATACAAACTATAAATCACCTATAGTAAAGCTATGTAGATATGCAATGATTGGCTCCTGGAGCCCCTGGTACCATGTACCAGGTATTACAAGAGTGACTGGTCACTCTTCATGTAACTTGGGGTTCGTACCCCGTTACAGGAAGGGACCCGTACACGACACCACGTCGTCCACAAAGCATTATTTGCAGCAAGTATGTTGCCTGGTTTGACTTCTGGACAAGCCACCGTCGCTGGACGTATCGTTCATGTATGCTGTTGGAAGGGTAGTAAGAAGGTTCCAAAGAATGAAGGCGGAGACGTGATCCGTGTGTGCAGTAAACAGGACTGCAAACGCGCTGTTCACCTTGCTTGTACCGCGGTGATGCTATCCGAGTTTGGAGCCAACGACACGTTCAACAAGATTGCTTGCGGAAAGCGCTGCTACAATGCGATATTGAAGCAACCTCCAGTGTCGACGCAGTCGAAGAAGCGAGTACCTTGGAACCACGACGGACTAACCCCAAATATTAGCTCGATCAGCGTGCTAATTGACTGGCTCACGAATTCTAATAACTACAATCACTACAGAGGAGAGGACACCTAGACTGGAGAGTCGAAAAACAGCGATTGCTGGTGAAGATAGAGCAAAAATCGAAATTTCAGGAATAACAACCATGCGAACAGTGAAAGACATTACAAACAAGATAAGTGCGTTGGAGAGTTTGTTCCGAAACGCCGAGGGCTGGCATTCTAATGGAGGCGTATTTGTCGTCTGGTGCCATCATTTCAAAAATCAGACCTCGAGTCAGATCACCCCCAACAACTCTGGATTCAAATCCAGAGAACAAGCTCTGAGGACACCAAAATTAAAGGAGGTTCCACACCCACGCGCTTCGAACCGAACCTGGTAGTAGTGCTAGATGAGGTGTACAACGGCATCGAAAATGCAGATAACATTTTCCTATTGTTTATTTGAGTAATTGCTGATATATTGTCATTGTGAACGAATGTGCGAGTATACACATGACCCGCTAGGCTCCTGTCTACACGCCCAGCTCTGTCGTCGAGCCTTTTCTAGGGAAGTCATGAGCTCCCTTCACTATGTGCGTCAGCGAGGCCCATCCTCGAAGTTCACGCTTCACTATTGGCAATCCGTGTAGTCTTGACGACAGCTTCAACAGCTTCCAGACTACATCTAGAGGCTTGTCAGCACGTACAAACAGATCTTACGCAACAAACTCCGTCGTCGGTCAACTCGGGTACGGCCTTGTGATTAATGCCTGACAACTTTTTTGGTATTATACAGCACTTGGAGCATTATCAGAGCCGACGCTAGCTTTTCATCGTTCTGCTTGTCATTCCAGTCCTGTTGATTCTTCGCATCCCCCAACAATTGAACCGATTGCAGTCCCAATAGCAGATAGATTCGTGTTATCTGTTGCAACGCGATGCATCCTCAATTCTCTGCAACGTTAATTAAGAAGTGTATATACGCACTCGAATTTTTTTTGTCGATTTCTCTGCAAGTGAGGATTTGTACTTTTCCACTGTTGGAAAACTTATTTGTTAAAAAAATAAAACACTTCGCCCCAATTTTTGGCTTTTCAGCGTTTGAAAAGCAGAAAAGCTTCAACATCGATGTCGTCACCTAAAACTGTTCTGTGAACTGGAGACCCTCCGTTGTCCGTCGAAATACTCCTCTACATTCTCTATCTCCATGTATAGGTAGAGCTTAGAACGCGGTAACCGCTTGCCGCTCTACTTGTTTGTGATCAATGTGGCTGCTGGCCAGGGATCCGCAAAAATATATTTGCTGAAAATATATTTTTAAAATCTCAGATAATAATTTATTTACGGCCTTGGCTACAGTCTGAAAATTTATTTATGGATTTTATGTAAATCTACACGAAATTAATTGCCGGCCTTGACCGACAGCCACCAGATTTTCGTTGGCTCTGAGCTCCTTGCAAATTGCTTCAGCCGACTCGATCTCACTTTGCAATTTCGGATACCTCAAACAATCCATCTCTCACTACCTAGCTATGTCCGACGTCTCCCTAATGCCATCCCAGCGCTCTCAGAGCAAGTTCTCTCCGAAGCAAATCGCTTCATTTTTCTTTAAGCCCTACCTAACGGAGGACGGGGATCCTACTGGTCTCCAGGTCTGCAAGGCCTGCGGCAAGACGCGCAAGCACGCCCCCAAAACGGGGTACACCAACTTGGTGTCCCACGTGCGCACCGACCACCCTCGCTACGAACAGGAGATGGAGGATGCCAGCTCCGCCGCAACGGGCACCCTACTCCCGTGGGTCCGCCAGAAGGCGTCGACGAGGTACGCCTGGCTGGAGTGGGTCGTGAACGGTAACCTCCCACTCTCATTCGTTGAAATGGAGTCTACTCGCAGGTTTTTATTGGCTATTATTTGACCCAGCTTCCTATTATAAATTTTAACTTGTTTCAAAATTTGTGTTAGGTACACTAAACTGCCCCCAGTTTCGACCAAGACTCTGCGAGAGAACATGGAGAGCCTCACGAAGGCGGTCGAG